GTTTACATTACGATATAGTGTAAAGTACCGTTGCGGACTGAATTTCGATGCATCAATCATTTATTCAATGAAGCGGATAGTTATATTAGCTATGACCAGGATATGGCTGCCGATAACCTGGCTACTTTTTACGCTGTCCTCAGCTGCGCAGCTCTCTCAGCAATTCGAAACACTTTTTCAATCTTATTTTAAAAAGGGTTTGTTTGAAGGATCCGCTTTGATCGCTGATAGTACCGGGATTGTATACCATAAATCCTTTGGCCTTGCAAATCGTGATCACTCCATACCAAACAGCAATGAAACAGTTTTCAGGATGGGGTCGCTTGAGAAGCAATTTACTGCCATGCTTGTCCTGCAGTTGGCTGAAAGTGGCAAACTGAGTTTGAAAGGAACCGTCAGTGATTATCTTCCCCGATACAGAAAGAATACCGGTGAAAAAGTTACTATCGAACATTTGCTTACGCACACATCAGGTATCCCTAACTACACAGCTCTACCAAACGTTTGGGATGATTCGTTGAAACTAACCTACCCGGCAAATTATATAGTTCAAAAATTTTGCAGCGGAAATCTTGAATTTACCCCTGGTTCTAAATATAAATACAGTAACACCGGTTATTTTCTCCTGGCACAAATAATTCAAAAGGTCACGGGAAAGCCGCTTGCTCAGGTATTGAAAGAAAACATACTCATCCCCGCAGGGATGAATCAAACAGGGTTAGTTGACAATATTACTCCCATTCAACACCAGGCGCTCGGATACTATCGGTTAGCAAGCGAATATGTCCTCGAGCCTTATATTTACGTGCCAAATGCACTTGGCGCGGCAAGTATGTACTCCACCGCCTTCGATCTATTCCTGTGGGATCGGATACTTTACACCGGGAAATTGCTTTCAACTAATTATTTAAAATCATACTCCTCCTCACATTTTTCAGTTGCACCTGGTTATGCCTATGGATACGGATGGGAGTTTACACGAACAGGTATTGCTCCGAATGATACCATCGAAACCATGGAGCATAGCGGAGCCATCCGGGCTTTTCGCGCGGTAATTTTCAGAGTTCCCAAGGAAA